CAGTGGGGTGCAATGTACAGGGAGTGCAACAGGGCAGCAAGGGGGGCAAAGTAACCATGTCCCTGAGGAATCCTGAAAATAGACTTCTGACTTGAGGGACAGGGCTTGACACATCATCAGACTTGATCGGAAAACATACATAAGGGTCAGCAGACAGACCTGGAACTATTTTTCTTTTCTTGTTTTGTTTTTTGTTTTTGTTTTTCTTTTGCCCCATGTCTATCTATATAAGATAGGCATGACACACAATACCGAGGAGAAAACGACAATACCAGCAGTTACTGGGGGATATGGGAGAGAAGGGTGGGAGGAGGGGCATGGGGAGCCAACAAACTCAGGGATAAGGGAACACTAGATCTAAAATTGATGGCGAGGAGGACATATCATGTCTGGTGGAGTTAAATGAAATGCAATGTATCCAAGAGGAATTTTGGAAACCAAAATGTAGTGTGAGGATGAGAATGGGATAGGAGGAAAGTGAAAGGAAACATAGGAAAGAAATAGAGGCAAAAGGTATTTATAGAGGTATAGTTATAGGCATGTATATATGTAAATATACTAACTTATAATGAAAGGGATAGAGGCTAATGTGTGTGTGTGTGTGTGTGTGTGTGTGTGTGTGTGTGTGTAGTATTAAGATAGCAGATGGACTTTGGACCTCCATTCAAGGCCTCCCTTAACACAAGAACACTTTGATATTTACCTTGCCAACTTGATTGCTGACGACGAAATGGGTGCATAAGCAAATGTGGTGAAATGATTGGATAGTGCCCGGTTATCAAAAGATACAGCTTCTGGGTTCTTAAAGGCTTGAAGTTAAGCCTGCAGCCATCCAGTAGAGAAACAAATAAGCCCAAATGGAAGAAAAGATCCAGCCTGTGTGATCATGAGGTATCAACGGGATCAGGTATCAGGCATCAAAAGATCCAAAACAAACAACTATATTGATGATATGTGGAGCTTTGGCATGAAGACCCAAAGCCCATCTGTAGACAATTAGATATCCCCCCACCGAAGGGTTATAAGGAAGGAATAGTTCACCCATGGTGCAGTATAGCAGTGGTGAAACACACATCATTCTAGTTCCTGAATGCTCCTCCCACCCCCCCACCGCCACCCCCCCACCCCCGCCAACTACCATGATCCAGTTCTGTCTTACAAATCTGGCTAGACCAGAGAACACCCATTGGTACAGATAAGAGCTCTCGACACATGGAATTCAGGACAGATAAAGCCCTCAGGAACAGTAGTGGGAGTAGCAATATCATGAGGGTGGGGGGATGGTCGTGAGGGGGAATGGGGAGAAAGGGGGAATGCATCACAATGTTGGATGTATACCATCCCCTCCAAAGGGGAGGACTAACACAAATGTGGGTAAAGGGAGACAATGTACAGTGTAAGATACAAAATAATAATAACAATATATAATTGATATAATTCACGAGGGTGGGAGGGTGGGAGAGGGAAAGGTAAAAAGAAGAGCTTATACCAAGGACTCAAGTAGAAAATGTTTTGGGAATGATGATGGCAACACATGTATGAATATGCTTGACACAATTGATGTATGGAATGTTATAAGATCTCTAAGAGCCCCCAATAAAATGATTGAAAGAAATACTTAAGCAAGAGCTCTTTACTAATACTAAAATTTAAATATGACTAATATATTTTCCATAACTGATTTATAATTTGAGTTTTTCTTTCCACCTGGGAAACAATACCCATAGCCAATAATCACTGATTTGCAAGTTTGTCATAAAATTTTATAAAATACTATGCCAGTGCTACACGCTTCCTCTGCGACCACTTAATGATGTTGCCTTTTCCTCCTGTTCTTACCACTATAATCAAAAGTATATTAGGGTCAATCAAATACCTTTGAATAATGTAATAGCTACAATTATTGTCATATAAGTCAACACTACACTTAAAAAACACAAATAAGTATCTGTGGAGGCATCCAAATGAAATAATTTAACTTTAATATGTTTTCAATTAAAATTCAATATATATCTTATATATATATTTTTAACTGTCTCCCTAAGATATGCTGCATAAGCATATTAATTTTCAGGTTTAACTAAAATTGCCTATCATTTGTCTGTATTATTTTTCTCTTTGTTTTAATTTATGTATGCATGCGTGCATACACATACATTAACTTAAGATCATAACTGCTTCTCAATCTGTCAAATTTAGCTAGAAATTAAGGAAGACAGTATTTGTATTCCCTGTGTCTATCACTTCTCCTAGCTCTGCTTCATCTCTCAACTTTTATTTCTAATTAAACTTTATTTAGTATTTTTATTAAAACCACTGTCTTGTCTCCTTGTTTATGTAGCATAAAACCAAAACGAAGCTATATTGAGTGCCATTGAGCCAATTCCATCCCACAGTGATCCTATTTGGCCGAGTAGAACAGTCTCTACGTTTCAGAAGCTGTACATTCTTACAGAAGAAGAAAGACTCATCATTTTCTGCCCCATTGCTGATGGTTTGAAATTGCTCCCATTGTGGATATCAGACTAATTTATAACCCACTATGCCACCAAGCTTCAAGCTATGTAGCATGTTGTTGTTGTTAGGTGCTTTCTAGTATATGCTGACTCAGAGTGATCATATGAACAACAGAATAAGACATGGCTTAGTCTGGCCTCCTTTCAACAATTGTGTTGAATTTGAACGCATCGTTGCAACCACAGTGTCAATCCACCTCCTTGACAGTTTTTCCTGTTTGGCTTACCTTCTTTACCAAGCATGATGTCCTTTCCAGAAACTGGTCTCTACTACTAACATGTCCAAAGTCTTACCATCCTCATTTTTAAGGAGCATTCTGGTTGTCCTACTTCAAGACAGATTTGTTTGTTTGTCTTGCAGTCACAGCATTTTCAATACTATTCTCAAACACCACAATTCAAACTCATGGCTTTTTCTTTGGTCTTCCTTATTAGCCTACTTTCACATGTGTATGACACTACTGAGAAGAGCATGACTTGATCCAGGGACACTTTAGTCCTCAAAGAGATAGCCTTGCTCTTGAATACTGTCAAGAGTCTTTGTACGGCACATTTGCCCATTGCAATCCATATTTTGGTTTCTTGAATGCTGCTTTCATGAGCAAAGATTATGAACCCAAGCAAGATGAAATCTCTCACAACGTCAATCATTTCTTTGTTTATTATGATGTTGTTAGGATATTGGCTTAATTTACACTGAGATGTAATCCATACTGAAGGTTGAAGTGCCTGATCTTCATCAGCAAGTGCTGTGTAGCATGGTAATTAATAAAATCATTTTCATACCAGGTCAAAAGAATTTGATCAATGATGTCATGCTTCAAAATGCCAAGTCATCTTTTTGGTAATCAAATGTAACTTTCCAACAGGGAGTTTTAATATTATGAAAACTAATTTCTAGAGATGCACAAAATATAGGTTTGTACAGAGGCAAGATTACCCTTTCTTTTTATATATTCCTGCATATCATTATCTCCTATGCCTGTTATTACCTCTCCTCAACTCCTTCACTCTCACTTTTACACACATACACACACACACACACACACACACACCAGTTTTGAGGTAAACATAATGACACTCTATTAAGAAAACATAATTAGGAATATGAATGATAACACTTTTTGTATAAAATTCGGAGTTTTATGCCTATGCAATTCAACCTGCCAACTCTCATTTTCTCTCCATTTTCATGATCAACGCAAGAGTCACTCACAATTTGAAAGGCAGGGAGCTATGGGTGATAAGGAATGGAAATAAAGTCATAGATTAGGCGATTGCAGTGTTATTTAAGTGTTCATTATACTCAAATACATTGGGTGAGGAGTTGTCTAATGGCTATAAACTGCTCTCAAAAATAAGTAAATAGAGAAAATAAAGCAAAAATAATTTCATCCACACAATATTCTCATTCGATACCTCTCCATGGATTAATAAATCCCTTTCCAAAATGTAAATATTCCCTATGAAGTATTAAATTGGCCAGAAATTATCATGGATTATTTTATATTAACAAGTAAATTTGTAGTCTGTGTTTCATGAAAATAGTGAGACTTTCTATTTCTTTAAGGAGAAAAAATAAAATTTTAGAAAATGTTCTACTGACTGATTCAAACTCTAGGAAACTGGTTCTGCCAAGTAATGAATGACAACTTCAAAAAGTCTAGAAAAGGGCTATTTTAAAAATTCCAATTCAATAGAGTAGATACAGAATACTACCCAAATTCTTCATTTTAATAATTTAAAAGTCATGTTCCAAAAAGTTAAATGCTTTAAAGTATGCAGTCAATCCAACTAACATGAAAATAATATGTTTCAACTAACATAAAAACAGAGTCTATTCAAAATACTCCTTGGAGTCTAAGAAAGAATAAGGTAGATAAGCTCTTGTGCAGTCAATCATGAATATTTATCAATGGTAGGACTAAGGGTCCATTTGAGTTGCAAAAGGAGTGAGAAAAATGTCTAGAAACTAACCAGCTGTGTGCTTTATCCATGATTCTACACCATGGATTAAAGAGCCCTGATTGTGTAGTTGTAATGCATTGGGCTGCTATCCATCTGGTCATCAGTTCAAAACCATCGGCAACTCCTTGGGAGAAAGACTGTGCTCTCTACCCGAGTAAACAGTCTGAAACTCAGAGGGGTTTGCTATGAGTCAGCATTGACTGATGGCAGTGTGTTTGGAATACCACTGATCAGTAGACAGGAAATGGCAAGAAGAGCCATTGAGTAAGTAAATATCTAAGGAGAGAATCCTTTAATGTCTGAAGTTAGCATGATTTAGATACAACTCCATAAAAGTTAAAAAATTTGAGAGATTAATTATTTGAACTTCTGGATTGTTTTTAACCACGGAAAGTGGGAATGTGGTGGAAAATAGCATAAAGATGACCCAGCCGTGCTTGTCAGCGTTCCGCTGTGTTTCACATGCACAGTTTACCTAATTCTCACAGACACGAGACACCAAAAAATGCACTTGAGTATATTTTTACATATTTTATAAATGGTAAAGATTAAGATTTGGTAATGAAGAAATTTTGAAAAGATAATTCCCATCTTTTTGTAGATTTAAATACTTTGAAGTTTAAATTTGAAACACATGTGAAACATTTGGAGAAATTATTCACAGTAAGAAATATATTTTACAGTACAACCTATTTTACACATACATCTAAAAAAATAACTGTCACAAAGCACTATTTACTTACCCTGAAATAATATGTTTTAATATCTTCCTACTATTTTTTAACATCTTATTCATGTTTTTGCTTTTAAATTATATTCCTAGATTATTCATTTGACTGATTTCTCACTAATAGATTTGTAGCACATATTTTGATGATGTTTTTGGTAACTTTTCTTCAATATATTTTTATGAATTATTTTACTTCCCTGTCAGATTAAAATTTGCTCAAAGGTAGTTTTCTTGAAGCCACACATTTTACATCCCCCTATCTCAGGAACTGAAGGAGTGTTTTGAATGCAATAAATTTAATTTTACCTCTGAAAATTTATTATCTTACCTAGAGAGTCGATGGTAATTCCCCAAAAGGTTGAAAATAAGAGGTAACTGGTAGAGCATAGGAAAATCGAGAACACTGGCAATATTTCACCAAAAATGCACTATTCTTGTCTGTTTTATCCAATTATTTTTCACCATAAAATTGACTTTATTAAATATCCATAACTGTTTTATCTTGTAAAAATGGTGCTTTCCCCAGAAATGTGTAATTTAAACTCATGAAAAGCAGTTACATAACAACTCAAGAGTTAAAGAAGCACACATCTCTTCTATCTCCTTTGAGCTATTTTCGATCTGAAATTTCTACAGGCTTCAGTCAGAGAAGTTTTAAGTAATGATAATGTTTACAAGGGTATGCTGAAATCAACAGCCTTACTCTCCATTCTAAAATAATTAGAATATTCTTATTCTTGCCTCCATGTTTGTTTCTGGTATTTATATTTTGTTTTTGTGGTAGTAGTTGGTCTTTTTTTCAATCATTAATGTATCCAAGAATTAAATCTTTACTTTCCTGACAGGTGTGCTTCTGATTGAATTAGTTGCATTTAGGAAAATGATACCCATATGGAATGTGTTTAACCTGCATTTTCAAAAATTTTAAATATGTTTTGTAGAATTTAAAATACATTGATGTTTTTTTAATTGTTTGGAACCATTTATGTAATATTTATATGATAAGTCCAGCTTTAATATCCATCATTGTGAATGCTCAGAATTACTAAAAATCAGAAAATAAATAAAACATATCGGATAGAAAATTATGATTTAAAGACTCATGTGGGTATCTTAAGAATCAAAGGGAATCATCTCCCTTATAAACCATAAATACAGTGATATCCTTGAAAATTAGGTATATGTTCCTTCAAATAAAACTCAGTGATGAACAGATGTCCCCTTAAACCTGGAATACTAAGACTAAAGTTACTAAATCCACATTGTTTTCTTCTCAACGTAGGGCCATATTTTGCCAGTGATTTTTATTCAAAACTCCCACAGGCGTCAGTGGAAGATCCATGCATGGAAAAATGGCATAATATGTATCCTAGTTTTATTTATTTCATATGTATACAGCAGTATAAAATAATATATTACATTTACACTCATTTTACTTATGTATTATTATAGCATTCACAGTAACAAACACTATAGTTAAGATTGAAACTCATCTTTTGTTATAATACCCTGTTTTCACTCACAGATAACTGTCTCAAAATATGTGTTTAGAGCTGAAATTCCCTGTTCACTGTCAGCTCTGAGTTGTATGAATGCACTGGAAATCTGACTTCTATCATTCAGAAGTTTTTGAGCCTGATGTGAAAATTTAATATATTTTGCATTATTTATGCAATTATTTTCCCACACCTCAAAAACATCTGGAGTGTAAAACTTCAAACTAAGTATGTGACACATTTTCAAGAAATAAAAGTTATATTTCTAATTTTACAAATACTTAAAAAATAACAGTGATTAGAAATACAAGCATGCACACTAAAAGTATTAGAATTTTTGACATATTATTGCCTGCAATACTCTTGGCGGCACCCATCTACTTGCATTCTCATAGAATGCTATGATCTAAAACCTATGCCAAGTTTTAGAAGGAAAAAAATACTCTACTGAACAGTTTCACAAATTTCTAGATAAGGGTTTTGTTTGCCTTAGCGGAGGGTTATTTCTTGAAGTACTAACAATATATAAAATAATTTTACTACTCCATGGCATAAAAAATATGGAATTTTGAAATTTTCTGTTTTTCCTTGTTAAAAAGGAAAATAAAAAGGATGTTAAGTGCAAAGCCTTTACCACTACAAAATTAGAATTGAAAAGGTTAAACAATCCAAGAAAGTACAATATGAAAAATATAAGATTTTCAGAAAAAATTGTCAAGTATATCAATGGTTTCAGTATTTTTTAGTTCCTCGGGTATTAAAAGCACACGTAGAAACATGGCAGAAGAAGGTGACAGACCGAAAAGAAAAAGAAAAGCAATGAGATGGAACACTGATTATTATCAGTCAATATCATGAATAATTTTCTTTGTCTTTGATAACGTTTGCCACACTCTGACTGAATCATGATATTAAAGATCAATTTAACTTGAGTTAATATTTTTGGAAGATAAAATGGTACAACTAATGAACAATAATAAAGGTCATGTAGAAAACTTCAAATAATTTTGTCCTCCTTACAAGAGGAGCAGGAGCATTTACAGGAGCATTATGTGACACCTGGCTGCCAATCATAAAATTATTCAGAAATAAAAATGGAAAATGGATACTTAAAGATTTAAGATCTTTTACTATAACACTTAATTTGCAATGCTTGATAAAGGCATTTAGTATATTCATGAAATGAAATAAACATTTTCTCTAATTTTTCCCAAGAAAGATGAAACATCTATGTTGTTACCATTATACCTGTAAAGTAATTCTGATGTGATGTTTAAATGCTGGGTTGTAAATTATTTCACAAAACTATGTTGACAAGTTAAATATTAGAAAGTTACATATGAATGTAATATTTCTAAAAATTGTCATTTGACATACCTTTGAAACACTATGACTTGTTTCCACAGGAAAATTGGTTGGCTTCTCACTGCTTTAAGACTGACCATGTTTGAAAGGTGTAGCTATCATGAATATTCTTTTGTGAAATAATGAAAGACTAACAAGCTGGACATTGCTTCTCTTTGCTATAGGAGATTATAATCTCCTATAAAATCTATGGGTGGTTGGATATTAGTATGACCAGATTAAATAGAAATCCTATTCGAAAAATTTTGGCACACTGAAGGAGTAAATGTCTATTTGGAAATTGAGACTACATTGTTTTCATTTATCTGCTTTACAATCCCATCCATTTATAAATGAACTTTTTGCCAATTTATTCAAATAATCCTTATTTTGTTGTAATTTCTGATTTCTTTTGATTCAATGGATAGTTGATAAATGACTTAATGACTTATTTTATTTACATAATGTTATTTATCTCATAAATTTGTTAAAAGTGGGTTGGTGTTGGTAGAATGATGATATAATTTGAGTCCTATAATTCAAGTTAGTATGACTAGCTGCTGTGGCATATTAAAAAGTAACTATTACACAAATATATAATTAGTCTTCTGGGACATTATGTACAATATACATGAAGGGCTACATAATTAAAGAAAACATATTTGAATCAAATTAATTAATATAGCCATTACATTATATGTAAAGTAGGAAGAAACTTATTTTCAATGGTTTGTAATAAGGAAGATGGATGTGTATTTTTCTCCATGATTGTAACAGAATGCATGAAAGGTTTAATTAAAGCAAACTGATTCAACAAGAAAATCACTCTCTTGTTTAAAAAGCAATTATAAGAGACTATTTTGCAATTAAATTATATAGAAACGTTATCTTAATAAAATAGTCTATCATTCAAAATACTAATGCAAATATGCCAAAACTTTGATAAAATGCACTTAGGGAATGTATGTGCTTTTTGTATTACATATGATCAATTAATTTTACGTATTTCATAAGAATCCCCCAAAGACTGGAATGTTACAAACATTATTTTTAAATATAAGTTGATTGGAGTATGACTTATTAATATATAATTTGATAACATCAAATTTAGTGATACAAAGATATCACTCGTATGTAACATTAGGGCCCTATGAACACATCTATGCATTTGAATGTTAAACTAAAGTAAAATGTCAATTAAATTACATATATTAGATAGATTAAACCTGGAAGTATTATATTTTGGTCTATTTTCAGTAACATATTGCAGCTCACCTTATTGGGCATAATAAGATCAATTAAAATTTGGACAAATATTTGAAAATAGGTCTTTAAGTTAGGTGAACACTTTAAAAGTAATGTTGACTTTTTTTTTTTAATGGGGAGCTGTGTTGACTTTGTTCTTTGCTAAGAAGATTGTCTTATGTTCTCGGATCTTTTCTTCTCTAAATTATGTTTCAACACCCAATAAACAATTAAATAAAGGGGGAAAAAAAGAAAAATACATCTCACTGAATTTAATAATTAACCTGTCGACAGAAAAATAAAAGACAAGTTTTACTTTGCAAGGCTGAGACTCATGAAGAATATTTTCATTAATAGAATACAGACTCCATTTATGTTATTAATGTTCATACATAATATCGAAGGAGTAATGTACTATGTTTCTACCTCCAAATGTATTGAATTTATCTTATATGTATGAATCCTCTATATCTTATAGCTTTTCTTAATCCCTTCAAATATTTATATATCTCTATATAGTCATATAGAGCTATAAATACATTTAATATTCATGTGTAATTAAGTCACAAAACTACACAAAACTATGTAAAATAAAATTCTGTATGAGTTATATGATTGAGGACTTTTTTAAAATAGTAATCTTCAATTACATACTTTACACCACAAAATGTACAGACACCCAGTGTTCTTTTTTTGTGTGTTTTCTTTTTTATCTAACAACATATACAGGTGAATTTATAGATTCCTTATAAAAGTTTTAAGTGATTCTAAATTCAAAGCCATAGAAATAGAATCGAAATAATGTAGATTGTAAGATAGTTTGATAGTACATGTTCAGTGCTCAGTCTGATAACATCGACAGCTACATCTTTGGCATTGAAAATTCAGTACTAGGTCTTGACAAAATTTTGTAGCTTAGAGCATCATTTTCTTTTAAACAAGGAAAAACAGGGTTGACTAGGATATGAAACTGGAAGGAAACTATTGATGATGATTTTTCTTTCTCAGTAAGTTTATCTTTGGGACCCTGAATTGCCTTTTACTTTATTATATGATGTGGACTGTATGAAGCCATTTAAAAACCAACTAAGTTGTACCACATTTTAGGAAAATTATATAATATAATATATATATTTTATATTTATTTAGAAGCTTTGAAATAGTACAGGAAACACTTTGCAACACGGTGTATAAACTACAGAATGTCTTTGATATTTTGTGGGTCTTGAGAATACATTTGTTAATAACCCACAGGTGAAAAGAACATAATCACAATCGCTCTTGTAAAGTTGGAATAGTTTGGGCAACACTTGATCACACAAAAATAATATAAAACAGTCAAGTTTAAAACAGTGATATTGCATTTATAATGCACAAATTTCCTTTATCTTTATGACTGGCTTCTCGTGGTGAATATAAACAACTAAAGGGCTCAGTGACATTTGGAGAGAGAAAGATATATAGTGCTGTAAACAGGCACACACTGATCGGAGAGACAAAAATCAGTTGCCTCTAAAGTTTCTACAGTTCCGCACATTTCAACTCATTTCTCAGGCCTGCTGAGAGCAATCAGGTCCTATAACTGGCCACGATGACTCCGCCGGCAATCTACTCCTCCGGTGCACAGAAACTAACTGGATGGCCGAGATAATGACGTTGAAAAGTTGATGCTTTTGTTGGTCGACTTTGTGCAAATCATGCTGCTTCAGGTAAGTCCTGTAGAATTGACTAGCATATCCTTTTCCGTGCTGTGAAAAAGAGAGAAAAAATGCTCTAAGATAAAGAGACTGACTTTTGGAGCTTAGCAAAAGCACATTATTGCAAGAGAAATAAATATCATTGGAGACAATTGCCACACACCTGATTCATGTCGTATTACAATACTTCAACGCTGCTTTGATCTTTAATAACCATTCGACTGACTGTTACGGACATTGGCTAAGCTAGTTTTAAATGAAAAAAAAGTTTAATATCAACTAAAAATCATGGAGATAAAGTTTTAAAAAGCATTTACAAAACAATCTCTACTTCCCTTTTTGTAGTTGAGAATTGAATATATATATAGTGTCTATGAGTTGGAGCTAAATAAAGAGGTAAACCTTTTTAAAGTATAGTCCATATAAATGCTCATTTAATAGACCTGCATTTTCTTTTGACTCATTAGCAACAGCATGCAAAGTTGTTCTTCTGAAAGTGTTGACAAAAATTATGTCATTCCGTCACCCTCTCCCATGCAGTGACAGCGCCACGGCGGAGTTCCCAGCACCTTTTACTTAAGATCACAATTGAAGATGTCCACAAAATTTCTTCTCAGTAGAAAAACCCATGGACCTTTAATTTGGTATATATTCAATTTAATAAAATCTAAATTATATGAGTATATTGAAACCAATAGGTAATGGAGAAAAATGTGCAGCAAGTGTTTTACGTATTTTACATATTTTAAAGCTGGTTCAAATTTTCCAGGAGAATAGAGTCAGAAACAGAGGCTTGTGAGACATATGTTGCTTTGAGGCTCTGAAGTGATACTGAAAATTTTAAAGAATATTATTCAGATAATATCGATTCAATCTGATTGTAACAATATGTTAATTACTCTCAATTTTTAAACTGTTGTGAGGGAGAGAATTGGCTCTTCTCTCTTAAAAGTTTGCCACCTGCTGGCTAGGTTAATTTCACTTTTCCTGCAGAATTAAAAATACAAAAATCTATTCCCCTTAAAAAAGAATTACTTTTCTGAAAAAATTTAAAGCCAAAGTGGAGAAAGATTGTAATGGTCATTAACCATTTTTGAGAACTTTTTGTGAATCCAGGAGTCTGTAGGTCGCAAAAAGTTAAGTGCCTGGCAACTAGATACCCAAAGATTGACAGCTTTTCAACACCCAGAATGCCCTCAGAAGGCAAGCTGGAAGATCTGCTTCTCAAAGGTCACAGCTTTGAAAACGTCAAGGGTCATTTTTGCTCACCAAGAGTCTGATCAATGACAACTAGCAACAACTGCTATGGAACTGCATGACAGCTATGAAAACTTCCTTGACCAAAATGCTAAAGGGAACGCCCAATAAGCAAATAGATACTTGGTTTTCTGTCCATATTAGTAGAATTAAGTGCAATTTACCTATGTGTTTACTTTATTAAATTTTATTTTTTATTAATTGGGAGTTGATACACATATCATATCATTTCATAGATCAATCATGTAAAGCAGAATTGTACAATTGCTACCATAATCAGTTTTCTTCTTGTCTCGCTTTTAACCCACTTGTCTGAACTGTCTCTCTCTAAACCCTTAGCCTACCTGCTGTCCCCATAGGTTCGTCAATCCTGGGTTTCATTCTAAATTTCCTGTTTCATTATGACTTGGATTAAATGAGTTCAAACCTATTTTTTCACAGAGTTTAAAATTATTTGGTAAATTAAATAGTTAGCCACCAAAGAAATTGAGGTTAAAAAATAAATGGAACAAACAATGATGGTGAAGAAATTAGATTTAGCACAAATTCAATGATACTTTTGTAGGAGAAAGAGAACACTATCAAAAAATTATATAACATCTAATTGTGTGCTGTCTTAGAGAAATCAAGAAATATGGTTATCCTATAAATGATTTTATTTTTCGTATAGTAAATCGGGCTATTAATTATGTCTTTGGTACTTTTTTAATAGTTCAAATCAGAAAGCACCAATTTATAAAAAAACATTATTCAAGTACTTTGAGCAAAAGAAATTCAAGAATAACATCTAAAATATCTACTAATTTTGTGAAAAATGAATATACTGAAAAAATAACTTCTTAACATAAATGTAATAGTCAGGAAAATATGTTTTCTAATTATGTTCAAAGATTACTCAAGGGAAAGCTATTGGCACGGGCATTGTATGCTCATTTGAATTAGTCCCGACAAAAATAAATTTAGTGGCTGGAGCAGTTGTCATTAGCACACAGGAAATTTGGCACATATTATATTCAATACCTTACAAATAAACTTAAGTGTCAAAGATATTCTTTCATTCATCCTGAGTGTTACATGTGTGTAGCCTTTATTTAAACTCCAACTTATTTCAGTAAGGCTCTGAATAACGCCATCAGCTTTTTTTTTTTAACTTCCTCCCACCAATTGGTGAATTCAGGCATGCAAATCTGCATAGGACAACTCTAAGAACTGAGTTTGAAGGTCAGAACAAATTAGAATGGAGAAAGATGATATCTTCCATTTCAGAAGCTAATCCCATGCATCTGAAGTGCTGTCGGGCAAACTAGAGAAAATGGAATATTATTTCCAAAGCTATAGTCACATCCACTTTAGTGTCAAGAGTTTCAAGAAGTGAGTTTGCATATTGAATGACTATTATTCCTTTGTGAACTGTATGAGTTAATGTTAGCAAAGTTTGCGGCAGATATTATCCTCTCCCAAAATGGATCAATTTGATTGCCTTTTAGAGGCAGTGGCTCTAATAAAATATCCGCTAGTGTTAAAAAAAAAATGACCATACATTACCGTCGAGACTTGCTACAATGGGTCAAATACACTGAATTGCTGTGATTTTTCCTGTGCTCTGTATTTATTTTGGAATTGTCAGACATTTGATAGTCTTCCTTTTCTTTCCTTTTCACAAATATACTTTATTTTTCCTATCTCTGCACTAGCACATGTAAGGAATTGGTCATTTGATAAATGATAGGTTTTTTAAATTTTCAGTTAAATCCATACATAAGAGGAAAAGAAGTATTTGTATTCCTTTCTAGCTCTATTTTTTAGTTAATCACTGTGTTTATTTTTGTGATGATCTAGATATGTTATCTTAATGGTTGAATTACAGTAAGAATATTTGTTTATAATGGCAAATAAATACTTTTTGACAAAATGGTGTCAAATATTCTGATAATTTGACCTTTGTGCTTTTTGAAGGATGCCTGCCAGCTGAAGCACTCAGCTGCTAACCGAAAGGTCAGCTGTTTGAACCCACCCGCTGCTCCAGGTAAGAGAGATGTAGCAGACAGCTGCCATTAAGATCTACAGCCTAGAAAACCTACAGGGTGGCTCTACTCTGTCCTATTGAGAGGCTAGCAGCCTGAATTCCAGAAATGGGTTTTGTATAACAAAGTCATATGCTGCATATTTTTCTCCAGATTGAGGAAATCTTTAATAAACTGTGAGGTAATACATAATAACATGGAACACTTAAAAACCCCAATTAACTAATGACAAGAAGAATACATGTATAATGTACAAAATGTAAAAATACTCAATCCTGGTACAGTATTTATAGCATGGCACTGTCTGATGAAGAATGATTTTATGATACGTAAAAATGACAATATTTGAATATTCACAATCCTTACTCACAACAGGAACTAAAATACCCTTTTTACTTTATGACCTTATAAATGACAGAAGCTGAAGGGATACATTAATCTTGTAAAGTAACCCAATACATTTCTTCCACTGAAAGAAGAAACAGCCTTTAAGTATCCCAGATGATTGAGACTCTTCACTGCAGTGAAAAGCTTCCAGAGGCTGAGATCAGTAACCTACTCTGGAGCTCATTCCACTGTTTAATGAGCCTCACGGCCAGGACGCTTTGGTATATAGAAAATGAATCTGGCATACAAAAGTTTGAGCCCATTACCCCCTGTGGCAGTCAGAAACACCTGCCCTCTGTTCTCTGTGTGAAAGCATATCATAAACTTAGATGGTTTAAAAGCAAGGCTCCACCAGCGATTTGTCCAGTTCAATAATCAGTTCTTTTAACTTTCTGCTGTCTTATCCTTCAACCACGTTTGAGAATTTTCTTTAAAATCTCTGCAAAGAGTTTTTCTTTTTTTAAAACTCGATTTAACCCTCATACAGGAATATGCATCGTGGCTTTAACTATTTAAAGATGGCATCTTCTTCATTTGTCTTTAAACTACCCATTCGAACACCTCAGCATTTGCCTTAAAGAACACTGGTGTTGCATTGGGTTAAGCATTAGGCTGGTCATGGAAAGGTCAGCAGTCGGAACCCACTAGCCACTGCATGGGCGAAAGATGTAGCTACGTCTGCTTCTGAAAGACTGACAGCCTCTGAACCTTATGATTCAGGTCTTCTTGGTCCCTTACGGTTGCCATGTACAGGAATCACCTTAATGGTAGGGAGTTTGGTTTTATACATTTGCCTTTCCTTTTTAAATACTTTTATATTGTTCAAATGATAAATTCTGTTTTCCTATAAAATTCATAAATACATAATATATTTGAAATATATACATATACACATATGCATACACATTTGAAATATATAGAGAAGATATACTCTATAAGAAGACTACCTAATTCTATGTTGTGATTTATTAAGTATTATAAAAAATGTGAAATGGTGATGTTAACAATATATAACCTTTCTATTCTATAGTGATATCTATGTACAGACAACATTCTGATCTATGTTTAATTCTCATTGTGCTCTTGCTATATTTACTATTTACTATTTCTCTCTCTATTTTGTGCTGGGGGTGCTGTCAGTTAAACATTGGACTTGTATCACAAGGTCAGTCAGGGGGTTCAAACCCACCAGCCTTTCTGTGGGAAGAAGAGGCCATCTGCTCCCAAAGATTTATCGGGAAGCCCTAGGTAGGTTCCCTATGAGTTTGCATGGACTCAATTGCAATGGATTTGGTTTTTCCATTTTATATGTGTGTTCAATATTTACAATAGAGTTTAAAATTAATGCATGTTTATTAAATTAAAAGATAAATTTGGTTAGTG